GAGTTGGCGGTGCTTGCTACCAAATCATCAGAATTTCGTAGTTCGGTTCTACGGCCCGGAGAGTGGGAAATGTGGGAGGTAGAGAATGAATAGGTGGACGGGTGAGGGAGACACACCTGCTGTGAACGTGGCTCGAGTCAGAATTTCGTATTAGCATTAGCAGTAACTGCATTGGACGAAGCTTCGGTCAAAGTATAAATAACTCCTCTACAACTTGACGAAATATCATTTCTTCTGAATATACAGTACGCTTCGTTCTGATAATCTAATAGGCTGGGCGTGCAGCCTATTAGATTATCAGAACGAAGCGGACTGTATATCGGGCGGGGGGAGGGTATATACGGTGAATGAAACGTAAAATGTGGAAATCTTCGGCCAGCCGATCCGACTGGCCCTCTATTTTTGGGAGATGTGTGGGGAAAGAGACACTTCACACGCAGAAGGTGACTGGTTAAAGCAAACGGCAACAGGTGATCAGGAATCCCAGCAAGTGTGCGAACATAGTATGCCTATATACCGGCGCTCGAAAAATCGAGGATCGCAATGGTCCTATCTAGCACACAAATGGATAAAACGTCGACACAACGCCATCAGAGGTCGTCATTAAGTTCACGGTCCACGTCGCTCCCTCTAGAGTCCGGGTACGTTCGCGTTGATGCTGAAATGGATGTTCGCATCTAAATATCGACGGCAGTTGCTATGTTCCGAGCTGCTGTGTGCCATGGACAATGTGTTCCACCTTGAGAGACATCAAATTGCCATTGATCTCTTGCATTGTAATTCCTTCGTAAAAGCGAAACGGGGAAAGTTCTGCGAAATTCCCCGAGGAAGCTGTGCCTTCCATCAACAGTGTCTACGTCGAATCATGAGTATAAGGCAACTGGACCACTGGAGACCGTAGAGCTTGGTCCTTTTACACCTCGTCACGACAAGCACGCACGCATATCAGAGCGGTGCGTCACTTATCCGCAAGCTTTATGCAGATTGTACCAGGAGAGGTGTGATCTATCAAACTGATTGCCATGCATGTAACGCAACTTACAGTGGGGAGCTAGAAGACCGTTGGTGATGCGTATCAAGAAATATCATGCTGGTAACAATAGTGCTAATATGGGAACACCGCTTGCAAGAGTGAGGCTGAGAGTTCCGCGAGCGTTGGATGCATTTCAGAGTTCAGCAAGAAATCCCAGGATGAACAACCAGAAACAGCGCCTATCCATAAGGAACGAACTTTTGCGGTTTGAACCGCGCTACGAATTACTGTTAGAAGCGGTCGGACGTGCCGCCTCCGATTGGCCGCAATATAGGATTGGTACAGTAAGCCCAACTCAGTGTACTAACGACTAAGTGAGCGGCTGCTATTGGCTCGCGATGGATCGAGTAGTCCTCCTTTCATTCGGGATTTCTTTGTTTTTCAGTGGCTTTCTCGATAGTAGTAACAAACGTCACGTCTTAGGCGATGTAGAGAGAATTTTTTTCAAACCACGAGCTCATCTCTCTGATGAAGACGACCTAGCTGAAAATCACCACAGAAGAGTTCCAGCTAACAACCTCGACGGCACAAAAAAGTCATCAGTGGTATGTTGCTACTTTCTGCTGAATTACGCTATTCAATCTGGAGAGACCTTAGGCTCTTCAATTGTGAACGAAGCTCATGCTAGTGCACAGCTTTACAAGAGTTAACAAGTCTCTTAGGAGCTCATCGGCAACAGTCGAAGGGAACCACCAAAATGCCCCTACCAAGATCACTCGCTCCAGTTTGGAGACGGCCGCGTAGAGATCGCAGAAGGCCGTCAACGGCGGAAGGCGGAAAGGAAGGATCCGCTGAACAATGCGTTCAACAACATGAGAGGGGTTTTGAAGTAGGTGAGTAACTCAGTACTGCTATCGGTATTCTTTGGAAGAAGGACAATTAGTGAAAAGAAAGAGCATCTTGAAATGTCGTAAATATTTTATTAAGTGACATCTATAGACACTAAATCCGAATAAAAAAAATCACAAGGAACATAGGTTTCCAAGGATTTTTTCGCGAAGCTGATGTCCATTCGGAGAGATGAGGATCATCTGGAAAAAAAATCGCTTCAGCTGCGTGGGTTGCAAGTTTTATTTGTGAACAATAATTCAGGTGAGTAGTGTTGTATATTATATGGAACGGAAAATTTTGAATCAAGAGAAATAGAACAACTGTTCTGGGGCACCTTGATATGTGCCCCGGAACAAATGTCCGTTTCTAGAAGAAGCATCAACTCACATCTCTATTCTTAGTGACCTCGACGAGCTCCTGCTCATTAGGCTTGAATCGATCTTCGACAGCAACAGCCAAAACGGTAATGCCTTGTTCTCGCGCAGTATCGGCAGCTTCCACAGGGTCGTCCTAAAATAATTCTCCAGAGGCTATAGCTAGGCTTCCTCCAATCTATAAGTAGTGTACCCCCTTGAAATACATTCGTAGCTAATCAGTGACATGCGCGCGTCACACTCAAAGATGCCACGTGTGGAAGGAAATGAATGTTAGCAGACTGCAAACTTTTTGTTGCCCATCTCGGCCAAAGGTCACGATCTAAAGCTAGATCCTGACACGATCCACCCTCCACTACTGTAAACCCTCAGTTTCGCAGTCCCTGAACAACAACTGGCCCGCAGCCCTCCCATCAATGATATTGCTGAAGGCAGCCGGTGCCGCCAGTGTCATTGGTGGAAGGACTGCGAGATGGAATTTGGCCACACTCCACTTAGCCTCTCCACCAATGAAGTAGGCGAACTACCGCCCGCCCCCAGCATTCGTAGCCATTACCTTTAAAGGCAGTTGGCACGATAAATCCCCAAAGACGACTAGGATCAATACTCCTGGCAGGATAGAATTCCGCGACCCTGGGCAGGCGCTGCATAGCGGTTTCCCCGAGGAAGGTGCCCTTATAAGGGCCCTATCAAGCCACAACTTTACGTCCCAAACGCCCGCCACGCCCGCCCGCCCACAAATGGACGACCGTTCCTGACGCTCGTATTCATTCATTTGCTAAGCAAATTATGAAGCGAAGGGATTGGTATGAAGCGGCCGTGATGCTGCATGCATATATGGGTACACATATGCAGCCGTATCTTCGGTAGCGGTGATTAAGATGCCTACGGGAAACTCGTCCGAAATCGATTTACAAGTCACTGAGAACGGAGGCTTTTTCTTCGCAGGATTTTGTTTCACTCCGTTCTTTCGCCATTTCCCCACTATACAGCGCCCCACTAGCATTTTAGGCCAAGTAGGAAACCATCGTGCCAACTGCCTTTAAAAAGATGCTTCAGCGAGGGCTCAGGACAATGGGGCGCGAGACGGGCGAAGATTTAGCGCAGAAAATGGAACGAAGGTGAAGAGCTTAGAAACCTGTGCGTATCCATCAGTGAACAGTACAATGAATTTCCGCGCATTCTTTCTCGCGCCGTGCTTCTTGTCCGCGAATTCTTTGATGGCGTAGTGAAGGGCTTCACCGGTTTTTGTTGTACCTCCGGTCGGTTCCATACGGAACATTTCTCTGAAATAAGCACAAATCAAGCGAAAAACTATGGAACGACCCAGGTTGATGTATTCCCTATAAGGTGCACTTTGAACTGCATTTTATTATGGAAGCGCTCTCACTACATAGCACTCCTGCGTAGTGACCCTAATGGGAGCAATCTGTGCTCATTTCAACTTTATTGATATCAGATCGCTATGAGCAGTGCTTCAGGATATGGAACACAGGAGTGGCGTTGAGTGCTGCCCAGTGCAGACTCTGCTTGAAACGTTTGTATAATCAAAAAAAATCCGAAAAATTATCACCAACTCAATAAGATCGTCCTTGTTGTTGTGCTTGTCCAAATGGAATAACCGTCTCGGTGACGCCGAGGACCCCGAAAATCGTAATTAGGCTGACACCTGAAATAACTTCCAAGCTATAAGTCAAGAGAAGATGGCCACATCAGTCAACCAAATCGTTCACTTCAAGGCTGCTCTCACAGTGCCCAGTCTCAAGTTGCGTTCATACACCTCGGTGATGTGCGCCGTCGCGCTTCTGTTGCAATAGCCGTGCTACAGACCGAACCGCAGCAATACAGGGTACTGATTGGCATTAGCCGTTAGTGTTTCGGAGCAGTGTAGGAGAATGGGATAGTACCTGTGTACAGGCTTTCCTTTATCCCATACTCTTCAAAACGCTAGCGGCCAGTGCCAACCGATACCCATCTATTGCCTCTATAGCATTAGAACGCTGGTGCAACGGTAGCGCGACGACGCAGCGCTATAGTGCGCGTCATCGTGAACTATGAACGCAGCCTCAGGGCGAGTGCGTGTATATTTTGAACCTTCACATCAAAGAGTTGACGTTTGACCAAATCCAGCACCACGTCCACTGCATGTGGGTTGAGGTCAGTTTACTAAATAGTGAAGATTCGGTAGAGAGTAAAATGGTCACTCACGCGTACAGCGTGCGGAGAAATTGGCAATCGTCCAACAGTGGCTGCGGCAATGTCCAGATAACTACAATGACAGATTTCTGTTTTTCATACAGTAATGAGCACCGACAACTTTGGTCAACAGGTCAAAATAGGCCATCAGAGCGTCGAATGAAGATTCGCAAATGTCGCCAAAGTGGAAAATTTTTCAGATTATATTGAATTTCTATAAGAAATTGTAGTAATAAATTGTCACTGACGGTTTACTTTTGTCGCCAGTGCCGTCAGAGAAGTCCATAAGGAACACGATATCAGCTACGCAGCCTGGATAAAATGTTCAATTCTTAGACCTGTATATATGAACTGTGATGCATAACTAGGCACTGTATCCTTGGTGCAGTACCTACATAGCCCCAAACTCACATAAGAACAGCGCTTATTAAGACGTGCCACAATGACATCTTGTGACACGTCAACATCGAGGCCCTTACAACGCCGTTTCTTCAAATTCTTAGCTGCGTTTATACTTTCCGTCGGCGTACTGCAGCGTCGTGAGCGTTTCGAGCATAACTCTCGCCGTGAATAGGAATGTAGGAATGTATAGGCATCGATCCATAGTATGCCAGCGTACGTTAGCGTACTAAGCGCTTCGAGCGACTAGGAAAGTTCAGGCATCGTTCTAACCTACACCAGCGTTTCCCAGGAGTGAAGTATGTGGGAGAAGTAAGAGAGCACTAGACTGCAGGACAGGGGGTTGTGAAACTGCGGCGTGTGCAGTGGCACCGTACAACAGCTAAAATACAGAATTATGCAAGCTTGATGCACGGTGTAGTGCAGTTGTACAGTGCGGTTGCACACGCCGCGATTCCACTACGCCTAATCCAGCAGTTTGCTACCCTCCTACTTCCCCATACTTTCCTTTCCTGATGGACACATACGCTGGAACACATTGGTGTGAGCTAGACCGAAACCTGTACTGCTTAATTTGCAGCCACTCGTTTTCAGGTGGAAACCTTTATTGTACGGCCTGATGTTTCGACGTGGTCCTTTTTTCAACCAGCAATGGACGCACCTCGGCAGAGCCTCATTGGCCATATTATCGCCTCTGCGCAAAGCAGTTAGGCCGAACAATAAAGATTTCCACCTAAAAACCTCGAGTGGCATAGTAATTTGAGCAGAATAAACAACGATGTCTATGTTACAACAAGAGAGACTCGGAGGATACCTATACTTTCGTAGTCGCTGGCGCTGGCACAACGCTCAGACGATGCTGTACATTGGAGTTGACGCAAAGTATGAGCGCAGCCCTTTGCTGAACAACATTGAGTGCTTGGCGATTTTCGGCCTGGAGCGAATGAGCTCCGCCGCTTTTGAACCAACACTCTTACCATTAGCAGAAACGGTTCTGGGTTTCGTGGGAAGTGGTCCATCCACTCCGGAGGATCGCTACATGTCTAACAACTTTAAAAGTTCTACCATAGAGCATTCAGAAATTTTAAAAAGAGGATTGAGGTAGCCGAAACATTGCGAATTGCCACCCACTAAAGCTCACCGACCTGCAGGTGTTCGATCAAATACGGTGGTGGTTGTGACCCTCGTGGTTGTCGAAGGTGTTGTCGGTATCGGACGAGAAGTAGTAGCCCTGAAAACTGCGTGCTAATCTAATCATAAGGCTGCAGCTCCAGACTGAGTACCGCATCTCAATCCTTCACGTCAAATAAGGGCTGACCGTCAGATTGTGCTTCAGGACTAGACGGAAATACAAGAACCCTACTCCATTGCAATTGGAAACAGCAGGAAACGACATTTCACTCCATCGAAAGTCACAAAATTTGTTAAAGTCGTAAAGTCATCTTCAGTTTACCTTGGATGAAAAGCGGTTTGGGGAGGCAGTGTGGATGGTGTGTTGATTTCAATGAATGACGTCGAAACAGCGGTATGAATTGATGGAGGGCGTCTTCCACCTACTACGACAATCTCTCTAGAAGCAGAAAATTAATTTCGGAACACTTCGAAACAAGTCAATTTTTCTAGTTGGACTGATTTTGTGCCTAGAATAGTCGTTTGATGCTTGGATCTTCTGGCTTTCGATTTCAATAGAACTTCTTACCTGAATGGTGGTGGTGGCCGGGATGACGTCGAAGACACCTGAACAGGTGGCTGTTGGACTGGTGGTTGTGGAACTGGTGGCTGTGGAACCGGGGGCTGTGGAACCGACGGCTGCGGTGCCGGAAAGACATCACGTGTGACATCCGCCTTCAGCTCTGCTTCTACGTCCTTTCGTCGATAAATGGGACGAATTTTCGGGCCGGGTGCAGTCACCCGTCTGAAAAACTGGACACGCTGGCCTTTAAAAACACATGAATTTGATAGCTCTAAAGACAGTTAATCAGTTTGAATTTCTGGGGAGCAGGATTTAGTTATGGGTTTGTAGCTGCTAAGCGGCTTGCTGATGAATGGATGATCAAAAAACGGCCCAAAACGTCTGAAATAAAGTCCGACCTACTCTTAGCATTGGACTAGCATGAGCGTTCCAATTGCAGGGATTCTCGCCTCATGAGCGAGAGAACAGACACCCTGGCGAAAGCCGTCTCAGGGTCCTCTCTTTCCTTTTTTCTTCCTCCCTCCTTCGTTTCCTTCCTTCCTTCTCTGATCCCTCCTCCTTTACCTTCTCCCTTCAACTACTGGACTGGTAGATGCCTCGTGAAAATAACCCTGGACCCTCGCAGCGAGAGCACGTCTGGTTGCCGGCGAAAACGGCACCGCCGCAATCGCAGAAAACTGGTCGAAACACGCAGCAGTGATACGGTAGTCCAACACTGATTGTGAGTGAGCTTCCTGAGAGGCGGCTAATGCCGTTTGGACTCCAGCAATTTCGGCACCGAGCTCATTTTTAAATTGCCTAAGTCACCAAATCCGCTAAAAACTTGTATATAGGGGTAGTTTAACATCCTGATTACGAATATGACATTCACTCTTGCCGCTGGCGCTAATGGATGACACTACGATTATCTGCTAAGGCTGAGCCCAGGAGGTAATCGTAGTGTCATCCCTTGGCGCCAGCGCCAAGAATGAGTGTCATAATTGTAATCACGATGGTAAATAACCCTTGTGTACATGTTTTCAGCGGGTTTGGTGACTTAGGCAATTTAAAAATGAGCTCGGTGCCGAAATTGCTGGAGTCCAAACGGCATTAGCCCTGAGAGGCCCTCGAACCCTGTAACGCAGAGAGATAGAGGACAGCTGCCGTCAAAGCACAGGTGGTGCAAAAGGGCTTGTGCAGAGCCAGTAGATTTTTTTCAGGCAAGAAGACCTGTGATCTGCGAGTCGCTTTTTGCGTCAAGAGCTGGGATAAGGAACATCGCAGTGGCCATAGAGCGCCATAAAGACAAAAGAATCCAGATAAACGGAAAACTGACGCGTTCAAAGGGCCGCAGGCTAGTCACACGTTCATGAGCATTCACTGCGGTATACTCGAAGTTTATGGAGATCCCGCCTCCAAAGCCTCGTCACGCGCTTCCCGATACCGAAAACTGCATGCCTTACGTGGTTGTGGAGTTACAGGGCTCGATAGCGCTTAGACTTCCAAGGGCTCACAGGGTTGCAGGGTTCTCGTACATTTAGAGGATCCCACCTCTCTGGCATCGTGTAAATTTAAAAAGGCTGAAAAGACTCATTCAGTTCACACACCCAGCCCATGCTTGAGAAGGTCGTGCTAGGAGCACCCTCCATTCCAACGAAACCTAATGACTACCTCATATTAAAATGCAAGTGAGAAGCAACGCTCGATCTTATTAAATCTGCTCAACAAACTGACTCCTGGAGAGAATGAGTACTTCTTACCTCGTCGTTGTCGGTGGCCTGGTGGTTTTTGAGAAAGGTATGATTCGCGGGCGAAGCGTTGTAGTGATGGGTGGTTCAGTAACGGCAGGCTGTCGTCGGACATCTACCGACTCCTGAATTTAAAATCTTGCTGCGTTTATTCAACATATTTCATTTGCTTCGGGGCCAGAGAGGTATAAGGGCGTCGAGTTGAGGAAGGAGACGTTGTAGCGGAGAGTGGAGCCCTTTCTACGCACAGTCCAAGATCAATCTTGCCCAGGTCTCCGTCTTCGGCCACCGAGACTTGCTCCCTCAAGAACTGTAATCATGGCACGTCGTACGTTGGGAATTCCTGCGAGGAGATCATATTTAGGGAGGAAGGTCATATTTGTCTGAGAAAAATATTTTTCGCTTGTTCACCTCTTGGGGCAGTTTGGCGGCGGTGAGGGGGGGGGGGCATAGTGCACTTTTGTCACTTCCTATCAACTTGTCGATCCCTCTAGAAAACGCTTCGTGAGCTTAGAAGAGTTGACAAATTGTACCATGTTGGCTTGGAGAGCTTGCTCCAGGTTCACAAGAGTGGAAATCGTAAATCCGAATCGGTGAAGCAGCGAAAGTGCAAAATGGCCCGTCGCCGAGCTGCGCACTTTTCTCTGATTTTCCTGCTTTTTTGGCGCCATATACCTTTCCACCCCCCCCCACCCCTCGACGGCAGTTTGTGGGTGAAATTCGGAGAGGGTAGAAGTGGGTGAATATGCGAAAGAAAATTAGGGAAAAAAACTGGCACTATTCAACTATTACTACCCCAGATTTCCGGAAACGGGCCGGATTTTGATCGACTTTTTCTACGGGGGTGGATTTGGCTGAAAGTTGGGTTCTAGGGGTAATTCGACCTCCTGAACACGAATATCACATCCGCTCCTCTCGAAACCGCCTGGCGCCCGCGCCACAGGCGCCGGCGCCAAAGTACCCTAGATCGAAATCCGCTGAAAACTTGTACCTAGGGGTAGTTTGACCTCCTAATCACGAATATCACATTCCCTCGGCTTGAAACCGCTCCGCGTCCGCGCTACGGGCGCCGGCGCCAAAATGCCCCAAATCACTGGCGCCTATGGCGCGGGCGCCAGGCAATTTCAGGCCAAGTGGATGTGATATTCGTGTTCAGGAGGTCGAATTACCCCTAGAACCCAACTTTCAGCCAAATCCACCCCCGTAGAAAAAAGTCGATCAAGATCCGGCCTGTTTTCGCAAAACTGGGGTAGTAATAGTTGAATAGTGCCAAAAAACGTAACGACATAGTTGGGGTCATGATTAGAGGGGTTGTATAAGGGTAGGGAAACTCGAGGGGTGTCGTAATTGCAAAGAAGTTTTCTCCTGCGGCAGGAAGTGCCTTTACTGTGATTCGGCACCAGACTTGGAGACTCCCGCAGCTCACTCACTAGAGCAAACCACATTCAAAACGGTTCTACGGTGGCGTATAGAAAATGGAGGAGCGGCGCATCCCAAACTAGTCACCAACAACACCAACAGCTTTACCGTCACGGATTCCTCAATGTGAGCCAGTGAAGAAGAATAACAAAACTTTTAATGTCTCTAAACAAGCCATGCCCACATACAACTTTACCACAGAGCCTACCAAATGCCGATTCGACTATCCTAATCCTGATTTATTAGGTTGTCCGGAAAGTTCTCAGCGTTTTGTGTTACCATTTTTTGTACATTCATTGCTGATTAAAAACTCATTCTCCCTTGCGTCTCAGTAGTACATCCTGAAGAGAATTCTTTGCGCTATCTGATGGTATAATTGCCCAATAGTGCTAGAGAAAGCACCGTGCGGCAATGGTTCGACAAATTTCGTTCTGGAGATTTCAGCCTTGAAGATGAACCTCGTAGCGGTCGACCTAAAGCAATACCTGACGAGGATTTGAAGGCGTTTGTGGAGGCTGACCCATCCCAAACAGTTCGAGAGATTGCAGAAAAGCTAGGCGTTGGCAAATCCACTGTTGCGGATGGTCTGAAACGCATTGGGAAGGTGAAAAAACTCGACAAGTGGGTGCCCCACAAGTGAGTGACCGGCAGAAATTGGCACGTCTCGAGGTTTCCTCTTCACTGCTTTTGCGCAACAGAAACGACCCGTTTTTGGACCGAATTGTCACCTGTGATGAAAAGTGGATCATGTATGATAACAGGAGACGTTCCGGACAGTAGTTGGATGCCGACGAACCACCGAGGCAATTTCCAAAGCCGAATCTTCACCAAAAAAAGATTATGGTCACAGTGTGGTGGTCATCGGCTGGTGTGATCCACTATAACTTTTTGTCACCAGGCCAAACCATCACAGACGAGTCCTACTAGGCAACGTGACTTAGATACCCGGGTGGGCGTGGCCACAGGGGCAAGGCTTCGAAATGGACCGGTGTTTCCCAAATTTGTGCTGCAATAGATATTAGACGGGAGCACCGTTTACAAGGTAAACGTTCCTATTGTCTTCAAGGTGTGCTTAATGTTGATTTCATGATCATACGTAAGACCTGATAACCACTTTTTCGCCTCTGCCTAATGTATACCTTCTGCCTAATGTATACCTTTGCAAAAAGCATAAATTCCAATCTAAGTTAATTCTTCCTCTCGGAACTTCTTAGTTCAAGCAGTAGAAACACACAGCTGTTTAATAAGAAGGAAATTATCGTCTCCAAGCTCAGGAAGAAGCGCTGAAGCCTAATTATATCCGTCCACGTCAAGCCCTCGCCCTATTTTGGCCACGCCCACCGGGTATCTAAGTATACGCACCCGTCTACTGGGAAGAAATCGACGAAATGTATCGAAAATTGCGTCAGCTGCAGCCAGCATTTGTCAACAGAAAGGGTCCGATTCTTCCATGACAACGCCCGCCCACACGTTTCACAAATCACTATCCATAAATTGAACGAATTGGGGGTTGAAGTTCTACCTCACCCGCCATATTCTCCAGACCTTTCACCAACCGACTATCACCTTTTCAAACATTTTCAGAACTTCCTTGCTGGAAAATACTTCATCAATCAGGACCAGGCAAAAAAGGCCTACATGGACTTCGTGGATTCTCGACCACCCAGTTTTTTCTTTGATGGGATTTATCGACTGGTGTCACATTGGCAAAAGTGTGCTGATTCGAACGGTGCCTATTTCGATTAAATCCGATGAGTATTAAGAAAGTTATGATCGTTTAAAGTGAAACACTCAAAACGCTGAGAACTTTCCGGACAACCTAATATATGAATTTACACGAATGCATAGCTGACCTTGCTGATAGGGCTGCAAGCAAGAAGATCCTCAAAAGATTCGTCGCCGTCGACCGAAAGCTCACTGAAATCTTCCAGCTGGAAATTACGTGATTCGAAAAGAGCTGTTTATTGGGTTGTCCAGATAAATGACATTTCTGTGGGAGCTCTTATTTTTCCCTTTTTTTCTTTCTTTTTACTATGGGAGTTTTCTTTCCCTGCGCGCTTCATGGAGAGTAGTCCATTGATAGTAGAGCAGAAAATGTAAGTCTCGTCTTGGTCTTGATATCTTGACAACCTAACAAATTCACCATGTTAAATGTGTTTGTTATTAAAAAAAGCAAGTGGGAAGCATACAGCTTATTAGTCGGCCTCCGCAAATTTTCCGCCAGTGAAAAGTGCCTTTGAATGGGTGAGACACTATAATTTGGTACACGGTCCCAAATGAAAGCAGGACTACAGCTAGTGGGAGAATGACAAGCAAACTCAGTTGGATGGTCAGAATCCTACGAAACGTCAGTGTTCCACGGTAGTGGGCAGATATTCGGCTAGCACCACCCACTTTCGGACGGCTCTGCTGGCATTATGCTAACAACCGTGACACTGATAATTACTTAATATACATGGAACTAATTAATAATCAGCATATCAATTGGGTTTCTCAACGGATATTTCTATTTGGAACAACTGTCATCATGTATTGTTCTGAATAAAGACATACAGGGGGGGGGGCAAAAAAAGTCACTTTTCTTCATTGACTTTCGAGGCGCTATAAGTTACACTTTATTGAATTCTGATCGGACATTTCACCACCATATTAAAGAGCATATTAAATACTATCATGATACTCCGCCACAGCCTTCTGGAGGAGCCATCGAGAGATTCTGCCACGCGACCGTGAGTGGGT